TTGTCTCAAGGATCTTTGAAAAATGTGTGTGAAAACGAATGCTGAACAGCCACGTAACTGTGTGCTGTCTGCCGATCGACCATACTGAGCCCTAAACTGTTTGACAACCAAGGAGAAGGGACATCTATAGATTGTTGGAGTTAAATGAAAGTTTGTTTGGCCAGTGACAAATTAAAATTTGCTTCTCTTAATTTCTCTTAAGCACTGAAGAGCTACTTTAAATGAGCCCAGGAGCTACTGGTAGCTCACGAGTTACTGGTTGGAGAGCCCTGGCATACTAATATTAAAGCTGAAATAGCTTTGACTTTAAAATAAATGAAATTGCCTGTGTTGAAAGGTCATGAGATAAACTCAAATATCAGATCAAACAGATACTGGCACATTGCTGGTCTCGTGTCAGAAGAGTAAAGAACTTTAAGGGTAAAGGACTTTATTAGGCCAAAATACAAGTGACAACTCTGAGCAGAACAGAGTCATCCAGCTGRTGTARGKTCTGRTGGAGAAAGTCGCTCTATAGARGATGRAACAGACACTGACCATGGGAGGATAGACCTTATGGCTCCCTACACCATAATACCTCAAGTGACGCTGGGATCGTTCCACAACACTTTCAGGATAGATCCTCTCCCTTTGGTATCACCACGCTCACTCATCAGTACTGAGCATGATACGATGCTACTCGTTAGTTTACAGCACTCCAGAAACAGCTGCCTCTTCTTGTTAATGACAATCTTTGTATGAAACAATGAACCTATAATCCAGTTTATGCTGGTCGTTCAGACATGGTACGGGACAGTACACGGTGTTGTAAAGAGTTTAATGTCTGTGTCCAGATGGCAGGTTCAGGTGTTATTGGATTATTATGAGATTCTGCATAAATACTTCGATTTCACTGTATTAAAGCAAAAAAATAAAAAGGTATACATTTTAATTTGATTAATTTTATTTAATTTTCATATTTAAAAACAGAAAGCAAAGACTATTATTACAGCTGCCTAATAATAGAACCTAATGCTTAATAACAATTAGAATATGGGGATGGTGGTGCTGCCCAATCAACTAAGCAATTAGTAAACGCTCCCATTGGATAAAAACTGACAACAAGTTATTTAATCCTAACTGATGCAGTGAGGAGCTTCTCATTTGTTAAACAACTATGTCTAAAGACATCCTGTGGTCGTGGAAAATATGGTAATCTGTTTCAGAAGGGTCAAATTACTGGCATCAAGCAGAGAAAAAAAACATATGTAGATTGCTGAAACTACTTAAATCAGGTTAAGAACTGTCCAACAAATTATTAAAAACTGGAAGGATAGATGGAAATATCATCTTTGAGGAAGGAATGTGGTCATTAAATAAACTTGAATGATCCCAGATTGGTGATCATTTAAAYGTTGGTGAGATCAAATTGAAGAAGACAACAGTAAAAGTCATGYTGTTTAATAGTGAAGTAAGAGAATTTTCACATTCACAATGTGACAGGACTGGGATTTTAGGCAATTCAATCAGAAACATTAAGACAGCAAGGTAATTGTCTCATGATTAATTCCTYATAAAGCTGATGATCTTCACACATTCAGATAATGGGTTTGACATGCAGCAGATTAATGTTTTAAAGAATGAAGGATGAGAAGTGTTACGTTTGGAAAGCATTAATAGTAAGAYAGTGGTTAGGTGCAGAGTGTGGTGCAAGCTGGGATACTAACAGTTGAAGGGTGCTTAGGTGATGAGGGGCAGGAGTCAGAGTCGGGAGAGCTCTGCTTGGGCGCTGAAGCACACTCCTACCAACAAAAGGCACAACATGATCAGTGGCTAATAGCTAGCAGCTAACTACAGAAAGACGTAAAAAGTGAGGTTAGAGAGAAGAAGAAAACCTGGAGAGAAACCAAAAGGTTGTTAATGTAGTTGATAATCAGGCAGAGCAGGACTTGACATTAGGGGGAAAATAATGTCAYTATGTAGTTTGTCTTGAGTTTGGTAAACAGTACAAAAAAAACAAAAAACAAAAACAAAACAAATCAGGTACTTGATTTGGTAAAGAATGAAAACAATTTTTGCCAAGATGTTTCTTCATAACATTGACAGAATCTAAATGGATCAYATAAAATAATTTCTTTTTTTGGTGGATCTGAAGCAAATCACAGTTTGAATGWGACAACAAAACCACCAGTCATGTACACACTTATCAGAATTTTTTTATCAAGTCTAGATGTTTCTCTATAAATCATGTCTAAAGCTTAAAATCAAAGAACAAACATATATTCTCGAGTTAAAATGAACCAAATAATGACACAGTTAGGCTTTAAAAAACAAAATCCTCTCTAAGATAAATTAACTGGTTTTTTTTGTTTGTTTTATTATTAAAGTAAGGTCTAAAAAAGTATCAAATGTAAGAATACTTCAAACTAATAAATGAGTTTATATAATATGTCAAGTTTCCTTGACTTCCCGTAGCAGCACAAAGTACTGTACACACTTCTGATGAGCTGAGATCAGCTGGTGAGAACATCTGTCTGTAGATTTTTAAAATGTATTCTCTTTCAGGAGACAGTACCACCAGACAGAAGAACAGCCCATTCATTCCTGATGCTCCCTCAGCAGTCACAGATGGAGACGCTCCCTCTCTCACCGTGCTTTCAGAGAACATTAATCAGCGTGGAAATAAACTCGGCTGTTCTGACGTGTTGCTGGTGAGAGCAGCAGGAGTCYCAGGACGACACTTTATGTCGCACAGATCAAAGTTTGTCCAAGAACGTCTTTTTAGGGTTTTATGTTTCAAAATAACCTGAGTTTAATCACAGTTGGATCTGTGCTGTCGCATACTTATAGCTAGAAGTGCATCAATAAATCAGCTGGCTGATATAATGGCACAGATTTCTTTAACACAGATCGGCTGAAACTTAGATAAGATCGGAGGAAAAGATCGGCTTCTCATCTACCTTCACAAAGGTCTGAAAATCAGCCATTGTGAGCACWCCCTAACGTCCAYTTAAAACAAGTTTGTATTGTTTCGAGGGTATTCAACGCTTTTCAATAAACTACGATTGGAACATTGAAGGTGTGGCTTTATAACGCCTGACTGTGTCAGCTGTATCGGCCAAAATCAGGGTCGTTATGTCAGACTTTATAAAGATCAGTGTTCGGGCAGAAAGATGCAATCAGTGCACCCCGACGTTTATCCATCTCTGTGTGAGAAAGTTTGTATTTATTTCATCCCCTGCAGCAAGGAGCTCACAGGTCTCTGACAAATAAAATCTTTAAAAATACACCAAACAGTCTGGCTGTGGTGTTTTGACTTGAGAAGCTTGAGGCTGCGTGGTCCCTGAAGMTGTCATCAATGCTTCGTCACGTTGTTTATTCAGTTGGAGACGTTACCCTGACTCTCACTCTCAGAAGTCGTCAGTACTGTGTGTGTTACCACCTCGTTCAGAGATACAGAGGTGGGCTGTTTCAGTCCCCTCTCTCCGTCTGTGTGTCTTCTGGGGCGTCTACATAAGTCTAATAAAACAAAAATTCATGCAATCCTTTAAATTAATTATAGAACTCTCCTGAATATCACCTTTAAAAATTGTGACGTGCTCAGAAAAGATTTGTTGTTCTAGATATTTTACACTCATTAAACACACTGCAAAACTGTGAGGACAATAAAGACTGCCTGTTCAGTCCTCTGCAGTCCTGACAAGCTTTGTTGTAACACCACCCTCATGATCTCCCGCCTACCTTGTCGTTGAGGTCTAAGACGTAGGTGCTGTGCCTCCACTTGGTGAGGACGATGGGATCCGGCTGCTTCCTCTCCAGACTGCGACTCTTCGGGACTTCGCCAGGCTGAGGGGAAATACTATACTGCAGGGACACAAAGATAAAAAAAAATACTTCAAGTTCACGGTTCATGCAGTCATCACAACCAGTTCTTCAGTGCCTTCTGCCTCCTCCGTACCTCTCCTCTAACTGTCCACAGCACCATTGGACAGAAACGCTGCGGGAGTCATCTAATATAAAGTAGACTGAATGTGTCCATGTCTGCATTTCACTGCTGTTTATTCATTCTGAGATCAAGGAGGTCAATTCTATTCTGATCTGTGCTAAAACCTGCAGATTAGGAGTAGAGTCACTAATAGTCCACCTCATCCTCTTACAGCACTGTTAAGACAACACATCAGCAGGACGAGGCAAATCAGGGTCAGAGGTCTGACATCAGACTTTTCATCCCTTTTTCAGTACGCATCAATAACTGATTAACTTTTGGAATTAACTCACTAACAGTGGCTTTAACTCTGTCAATTTTACAGAAACTGAGTTAGAATTTAGTCTGGTAGTAGCAATGAGGCATATTGAATAGAGGCTCTATCTTGTGACTTTTCCTGTTAGGAGAGCAGCCATGTTGTTCAGGGCAAGGACAACCCAACAGCAAGCACTGTTGGTGATGCTGAATGTGGTAATCATGATGTTAAATGTTTAAACTGTAGTGAATGATGTGTCTAAAAGACAGAAGCCATCCATCCATCCATCCATCCATCCATCCATCCATCCATCCA